TTCTGTTTGCTTAGGCATTTCTTAGGATGCAATGGCCGGACATCCTTCCCGCAAATCTCATAGCTCAGATGGGTAGAGCGTACGGCCAATAACCGTAGGGCCCGCAGTTCGAGCCCGCGCGGGACCAGTATTGACTGGAAACCATGCCACGGCTGTTAACCATGTTCGTGTTGTTTCCTGTCATCTTCTGACCACACCATTCAGGTCAGCTTCAGTTGGTCTGTTGTGTGGGTGCACATATTGAATGTGCCGAAGGTTTAAGGTGTTGGCTTCAGGTGCGAATCCGTAAGGGCGTGGGTTCGAATCCCACAGCTGTCCCTTGCAATAGTCTAGTCCCAGTCAAACAAAATTTTTAATCTTTTACTGCAAAACAAAGCATTTGCGTGAATCCGCACCTTTCGGAAAATCATCATTGTGTAGATCGTGCTAAAACTGAAAAAACCTCAGAGAGTTTGATAGAAAATCGCGCGAAGCTGGCTGTCCACAATATGTTTTCGCCCAAACAAGACACTTTGCGTCAGATAAGCTATCCACATTGGCAAAGCGAGTGTTATATAGTGGAAGTCAGCAAAAATTCAGTTGAGAATCATGCATGTCCCGTCCGTTTATACACCTTATGTCAACACAAACAGGCCGCATAAGTCAAGAAGCCTCTCGAGCTCAAGGATGGGCGGGCCCCGATGATGCCACATCCGTATGGGCCCCCACCGCCGCACCTGTGGCCCAGCTCAAAAGTGATCCTGGTTTTTTTCAGGTTTTTCAGATCGGTTTCTTCACGAAGAGCTTCGCTTGTTGATGTGGCTAAGGTTCCAGCTTTCAGGCTTGTTGTTTGCAGAAGGGCAGCCTGCGGAATGTGGATTGGAGACAGGTTTCAAGCTGGATAGTGGTAACTTTGGCGTTTACACCGGAGGGTGTCGATCTCGGAAAATGTTTCGGGGCAAGCAATGCTAAGCAAGTAGTGGACAAACGTGATGTGCATCTCGAGAGCAATCGGGAGCGAGACTCCCCGCCATCCGAAAGAAGCGCACCGGACGCACACACTTGCGTGATGTCAGAGACAGCTTGCGTAGCATACCGTAAAGTACACGAAATGCTGCATTCCCATCAGGCTGAGTTTCTTAACTTCTCATTTCTTTTCCTGTTTTGACTGCACGAGGATGCACCATCCACCGCATATGGGGCCAGCACCGGAGCCAGCAGTCGAGGCGGCGCGTCGAGTCGCAAGAGATGAAGTGAGTCAGGAAGAGTTTGCGGTGTAACTCTTGACCTTTGTCTCTTTGTTTGCTTTCCTCCAGAGTTGGAATGCAGAAACATGATGTGGGTTGTGGGATCCACTTTGCTATCTAAGGACCAGGATATAGTCATGTATGGTGCCCCCGGGCGAGACCTAAGGCGAAATCGTGCGGGAGATTGCCCGTGGCGGTCAGAGGGCAAAATCTCCAAGGCTTTGCAAAGAGCACCTTAACCCCGCACCGCCGTGAGCTTGCCAGGCCCCTGTGCTGCTCGTCCGCAGAAAGATCCTTGAGGCGGAGGACCACTGAGCACTTGTCAGGGCTTTGTCGAGATAGGGCCGGAAGGCTTCAGCCAGACGCCTGGCTTAGACTATGTCTTTTGCACGGGCATTACCCGGTGGTTGCAACTCGTTTCGGATTTGTGCTGCCCGGAACCCGGAATCAACTGCTATGCCAAGGACCATGCCCGGTTCAAATCCCCCAGGTTTTACGTTTGATTGTGGAAGCGCTCTCAAACAAGAACGTCTGGACGGAACTGGGCTGACATCGTCTCAGTGGACAATCCCAGACATGTTTGCCTGAGTTCGCATCTTGTGCGTCGTACCTCCACCTGAGTGGGTGTGGGACACAAAGCTCAGGGGCCTCAGTTTGTCTGAAAGGGCAAGATCCCTGGCTCACTGGAGCAATTCCGCTTAAAGCAGGACGGCAAACCGCCGGAGCTTAGCAAGGAGAAGGTCATCGAGGCTTTCCGCCTAATGGCCGTGGGTTTTGACACTTTACTCCACAAAGACATGTTAACTATGTTAACCTCCGACAAATCCTTTAAGGCCCACAGCCGAGAACCTCAACCCAAAGCCCTTAAGGATGCCTAGTTGTGCGGTAAGCTGGTCGGCAATATAGGGAATATAGCCCTTGATCACGCATGCTTCACCGCCTGCGGTTAGGTATGGGTATGGAAGAAGTCGTGTTCTGTGTTTGAGGGTACGTTTGGTGCACTAGTTGCATTCTGTTGACGGCGATAGGGTCGCCAGATGTCGTAAGCAAGGATCACGTGTCTACAAAGCAGATGCCCTTGGCATTTCCATGTCATGATTATGCAGAGGCATGGAAGGCCTTCCCAGTTAGCCGTCAAGCAGAATCTGCACCCCAGAAGCGCCTGGATTTCGGATGCACCTTCATAATCGAAGGGTAGCTTTAGGAGTTGACTGTTGCGGCGAGGCTACGAGCCTTCGCGGGCGCGAGCTGAGATGGCAGGCCAGTTTGGGCTGGGCTGGTTTCGGAATTGAGAGAGTGGGAGGCTCAGCCACGGAAGGTCCGAGGCTTCTATAGCTTCTTTCCATCGAAAAGCCGACGTAAACTGTTGGTCGGCAGCACAGCAAAAAGATCCACAACCTAATTGCTGATCCGTTTCACTTTTCCGTTTTCAGGGCAGTCGCCAGGTTCTTTGTTCCAAGCCGAGACTCTGCTCAGCATTAAATGGTCACGGGATGAAGGAAACGGATTGCACGTCTGCACCGAGTGATTTGCAACGGAGTGAACAGTAAACTCTGCCCAACATCTAAGCCTCTTCTGGACCTACCCCCAAACGCGCCCTCTAAGCTTAGACACGACGATTGAGGGGAGTAGTTGCGGCAAACTCCAAGGCTGAAGTCAGGAGCCGGCTTCCTAAAGGACCTTTAGAGCTTTCATGAAGCGGGAACCCCCCACCGCCTTCAGAGATTCAAGTGGGCTCGGGATTCGAACTGCTCCATACAGGGACTTGGCGCCTTCCCGTCTTCCTCAGTCTTCCTCCCTTTCTCTTCCGTCCTCCCCACTTTTGCGCAGCCTTGGCCGGAAGTGGGCAAGTTCAACGGAGAGTGGAAGGCACGACACGGTGTCGACAGGTCGGTCTGTGCATAAGCTCTGTCAGATATCTGCTTGAGTGTGATGAGTCCGGCTGACACACGGCTTTCGCGAGGCAGTTGTGAAACCTGGGCCGGGCCCAGCTTTGCAAAACCCCTGGCAGCTTTTGTCACACATCCTAGGCCAAAGCCCAAACCTTCTCCCCCGAAGAGAGTGTCAAGCCTGTCTTTGAGCGGTTTGGGTGCCAGGTCACTCCCTTGCGATGGGGACTTCGCGGTGAGCAGACAACTCAGCACTTGCCGAAAACTCATGCAAGTGAGGTATCTAGAACTATGAAAGTCATCACAATGCCGATCATCAGACAGTCTTAACAAGTCATTGAACGATCAAGCATGGCATGGTTTTCCCTATTGCTTTCTTAGTACGAGTTGTAGGTGAGTGGATAGCACGGGCAAGGGCTTGCTTCAGTATTTTGTTTTATCCGACTCAGGTCACCTGCCACGTGGAGCTTTCTTGACATTCCGGATCGTAGGAAGAAGGATTCAGCAATTTGAAGCCCGACGCCGACCCCTGTGAGTCAAGTTTCCAGCCATCAGTCCAGAATCGTAAATCCTGTGAAAAAATTGTGGTGTCCAGCACAGGGGAAGTAGGAAAGACTTGGGTGATTTTCAGAAGGTGCCAGTTTTGCGGAGCTTGGCGGTTTACTTAATGTGTGAGACACAGTGGCAGGGGTTCACCGTTCGGTAGTTCGAGTTTGCGGTCATGGGTGGGTTTTGAGCTTGAGCCGGAGAAGCCGCTTTAGAGCGACCGCAAAAATTATCGCCTCGACTGCTTCCTAAGTTTCAGAGGATTGTGTGTGTTGCCATTCGTCCTGGTGCTTTGGGTCTTAAAATTGGCCTGAGCATGTGGGAACCTGATTGCGCAGCATAAACCCAGTGACAGGGCCGTGCTCTCGCTTCACGCTGTCACATGAAGTCAGACCTGTACTTCAGATTCTGCAGCCCGCATCGTGCCAGACCTCTGAAACCCTCGGCAGCCTGTGCACACTTCGTTTGACTTGAGGCTTTTTGTTCTCCTGCGCCACCGAGAGTCGGGCGAGACGCGCGTTTGCGCTGCCGAGGCTGGAATGGCGAAACTGCACGCTGGCAGGCAGACAGACCGACACGGACACGGACACGGACACGGACACCCTAGTCAATCCTGAGACAGAAACATTCGCAGACATGCGGTACATCACAACACTGCCGTACAAAGCCCAAAGTACATTGCAAGCACAGGCTATCCACCTGACAGATGTCAAGTCAAGGAGGTCAGCTTGAAACTCGTCTTAGTGGTATCCTTTCAGCTGTACATGGCTGCCAGCTGTCATTGTTGGTCTGGCGGGAGACAGGTCCGAGGTGATGCGTCGTTCGTGCTGGAAAACTCAAACTCAAACCCGCCATGTTGGCGTTGCATTCCCTTTCTCTGTTCGCTTCTGAACTGCACCTGCACGCCCGAAGCCTAAGCCGGGAGACCCTGAATGAACAACCTGGGGCTCCAAACCAGGTCCAAAGTCCAGTGGAGAAGTGGCCGGCCCGGATCTTACTTGTGAAAGTTGTGATGGAGGGCTTACCGCTAGTTTCGTTTACTTTTGGCTGGTCGTCGTTCGTGTGGGTCCGCTTAGACAGAGCATGACTGGTTAGGGAGCCTTTTGTAATCGTTTCTGGTAGGGCTTGGAATTTTGAAGTTGGTGGCGGCAGGAGTTTTCGCCAGGTTTCGATTTTTGAAGCCTGTAGGCTTGTCCAGATGCGGCACGGCGGCCCTTGAACTTCATTGGGTGAAGTTTCCAGGGCCATTGGCCCTCCTCATGGTTCACCGCCATAGGTTCATACCTCGAGGTCGCATGTTAGACACGCCCAGAGGAGAAGCATGCCTGGATCTGGATGGATGGAGTTGTTGAGCGTCTCAGGCTTGGATGATGCTTTAAGCCCAAGCTTAATTTTCCTTTTCAGGGCTGCGAGTCTAGACAAATTTCCGCAGGTCCTCCACACAAATGCGGCCTCCTCGTCACAGCCATCTGCGAGGCATGGGGTTCTTGAACACCAGGCTCATAATAAAGCCCTGAACCTCCAACTTCATTCGAGGCTCAGGGCAGTGGAGCAAGAAGGCATGGGCTCAGAAAGGAGATGAAGGGAGTACAGCTCTTCACTGGACATATTGCACGAGGACTTGGCCAGTCTCGTAAGGAATTCGACCAAGCGGAACCATATCCTCATATGTGCAGGTATAAATCCTTCACCTTCAACGAGCACCTCTTTGTGATATCCATTGACAGGGAGTCGGGCATCCTGAAGGCACGCTTCTCCAAAGCAAGACCAATACCTCCTTTTTTCCAGATATTTGCGGCTCCGGACAATTCATGAAAGGTGAAGGTCTCAAACGAAGCAGACTGCTTGACACCGCTGATTCACTTTCGAATCGAACTCCTGAGAATCCCAAGAGCACTGGGATGAGAGCAGGTTTTCCACGTGCCAGATCCCTCCTCGTCGTGGAACGTCGCCTTTGAGACCACGCTCCCGGAAGATCCGAGCGAGCGCCAGGCTGCGTAACAGAACAGTGTAGGTCGGTGTAGCTGAGTTGTCGTGTGAACGAAGGCAGTCGGAATGGAAAAATAGGGCTGCAGGCCTGAACCACACTTCACAGTTCTCCGAGGGCATATGAGGGGTTCGCTAAAGCCTGCCTTGCCTCGAAGTCTTGGCTTCTCGGAGCCAGAGCCCTGAGCCCGAGCATCATCCGACAATCTGGCCCCCTCCTTGATCAGTTCCAGACCAAAATCCTCTTAAGATAATCTTGAAGGACTTTCCACTCAGTCGGCGTGCAAAGCTCTGCATTTTCTATGCCATGGCCGCGACCCTGATTGACTGATTGAAGTTCAGGGCACACGGACATGGGCTTCAATATTTCGCATATCGGGCTCTGCAGTTTCGTTCGGAGTTGTAGGCCTCAGCCTTGGATTATAGAGTTGTCGCTTGTTGATGTGTGGTTGTGTGTGCGCGTGCTCGTGCACGTGCGCGGGTGCGGGTGCGGGTGAGGGTGTGTGGGCGCCGAGCGCCGCGTACGCGCGCGCGGGTGTGTGTGTGTGTGTGTGTGTGAACTCCTCTCGTACATGAGGTAAGGGATTCACAATCCACACTCGCAGATTTGTGCCGTTGCCAACAGTTTTATTTCTTTGCAGGGGGCACAGGCCTGTCTTGGATACCTGTGCCAACGAAGCTATTCCAAGACAGGGGAAGGGTGGTCTGATCAACCACCTGTACCGCCTGTACCTGCAAACACGGCCAGCCCGAATGTACCCTCAAAGCTGCTGTTTTCATCTTTGGCCGAAACATGATTCGAGAGATCAACACTAGAGTGAATGCCTGCACTGTTGCCACAATCTGACATGCATGATGGCCCGACCCCATGTTTGATCACACACCGTAGCGGAACAGCCTGTGCACCAACAGCTAGCGTATGTACTTCAGGTACATCTGTCCGCGAGTGCAGAAAACACTTTT